AAAAAAAAAAAAAAAAAAAAAAAAAAGCTAAAACAGGACTAGGGATTTAGCTCAGTGGTTCTGCCACCTGCTTTGCAAGCACAAGGACCCACGTTCAATCCTTGGTACCAAAAAAAAAAGCTAAAACAGATTTTCCATTCATCTCAGCTATTTCCCTTCTATGAATCTTCCCAAAAGGTTAAGGCAATGTCACAGCCATGTTATAGCAATACATGCCTACTCATATTTATAGAAGCACAATTCACAATAACTGAATCTTAGAAGCAGTCTATTTATCCATCAATGGATAAAGAAAGTGTGGTATTTATACACAATGGAGAATTGCTGTGCCATAAAGAAGGATGAACTTGAGCTAATGGTAGGAAAATAAATGCACCTTGAGACCACTTAAGATAGTATAATAAACCAGACATGCAAGCTTAAAAACTTAAATGGTTTCTCTTATATGAGAAATTCAAAATATAAATAGAGAGCAAAATAAAAGATAGCTATTAGAAAATAGGAAGATTGTTCTTTTATAAAAGGGAAGGGGACCAAAAGATGGAAAGAGGGAAGGGAGAGGGGAAAAGGGGGATGAAAAAAGAATTTATATGTATTATATAAACACTATGCCCTGCAAAAATGCATTAATAAAATAAAAATTGGAAGGAAAATGGATGCCTTTCTACAGTGTGCCTAGAGGTCCAAGTAGGCCTCTCTTGAGTTGGCTCATGGTTCACTCAACTGCTGGAAAAGAGTTCCAACCACTCCAGGAAAATCTCTATTCTTCTGTTCAACTAAATACCATAACTATTGCTAAAACTTTTTTTTCCCCATTAAGTTTATTGGTATATTTAAAGCAAAAAATACATGTATCATTGGGATCTTGTACCTTTACATGCTATGTCTTGGTTATTACTTTTTCCCCATACCCTTGCCCTTGCCTTCATCCCCTTCAAAGACCTTGTTTCCATTTTTTTCTTTACTTATTTTTTCTTTCCCTTCTTTCCTTTCCCCTCCCCACTTCCCCTTTAGCCATTTTCCTCCTATTTCACACTATCAATTTTACCATTTGAACCTTATTTACACTTTTAGTTTTTTACACTAGAGAAACTCTTTGGTACTTACTCAAGTGTGTCCTATTTATTTCACTTAAGAGTATAGCCTCAATGTGCATCCATTTAGCTATAAATGTTTCTGGTTTTTCATTCTTTATGGCTGAGTAGTACTCCATTTTATAGAAAAAGCAGACTCTACCTCACAGGCAAAGCTAGTTCACATCTCATCTAGGCTCCTTAGCATCTCATTAGTTATGCTGTTGATGTTTCTTTCCAAAGTGACACCTCTCTGAAGGCAGGGACCATGCTTTTACTCAACTTTATAGCTCTCTCCCCTCCACCCACATCCTTGCCCAATATCTGGTACCTAGTAAGGACTAAATGAATGAGTAAACAGAACATTTTATTCTACTAGAGAGCTCTTTTCCTTAGTACCTGAAGGGCCTCCCTCTTTCACTCCTGACATGCTGAGCTTGGAGAGTCTTGACAAGGAAGAACATGACAACAGAACAGATGAGGAGAAGTCCAACCACAGAGGCTATGGTGATGCCGATGACCAAAGGCTCAGACACAAATTCCTCACAGTGCTCACCTCGGTACCACCAGTTTTCACCTACACGGCATCTGCAATGAGCAGTAACCAAGTGACAATGAACAGCAGAATCTTCAGTGGGACTGGGAAAAGTACAGATATAAATGCTGACCAAGTGGAGCTTCATTAAAGAACTGAATATAGCCGGGCATGGTGGTGCACTCCTGTAATCCCAGCACTCGGGAGGCTGAGGCAGGAGGATCACTGTGAGTTCAAGACCAGCCTGGGCTACATAGTGAGTTCCAGATCAGTCTCAACTACATAGTGAGACCCTGTCTCAAAAAAACAAAAAAAATTGAATGTAGGGCTGAGGATGTAGTGAGTAATAAGAGCATTTGCCTGGGCATTCACAAAGCCGGGGATTTGACCCTTAGCATGGGAGGGTGGGGTAGATATACACGTTACATAAGCACATGATTTAAGGCTGTAAATAATGTCTGGCAAATCTAATAGATCCTTAATGACTGCCTGTAAATGACCAAATAAAAATCAAATAGACTTAAATATTCTATTTAATCTCTTTATTTATGGATAACAGAAAAAGAGGCACAAGAAGGAAAGTGAGTGATACTAGGTTATGCAGCTAGTTAATAACAGAACTAGATCTAGAACCAGTTCTCCAGGCCTTTCACATCCTTTCACCACACTAAAGAAATCCTTCAAACCCTGAGGCCATTCACTTATGTGAAAATATCTTCAATATCCACAGCAGCAAGGATGTCCCTGCTTTGCAGAATAATATCAGTTTCTCAGGATGCCAAGAAATTGTTTTTCCTCTTAGTGTTCTAGCTAAACTTACTTGTAACAAAATGTCTGGATAGCTTCCATCTATCTTCTCTGTTTTGGGTACTTATGCCAGCATTTGCCAATTCTGACAGCTACAAATTGTCCTGGTATGTGTGTTACCCCTGTGTATTTTCAGCATCCTCTGCTCTTATAGCCATGTAGCTTTAGTTGTGTGTGGTTGGAAAGTTGTTTGGCTTTATGAGAGGAAGGCAGTAAAGGGTCATCAGACTAAATGAATGTGTACATTTGCAGTATTCTCATTGGTTCCACTCAATAAATGGGTGTCAGGTATACCTAAAGAAAAATGTGCTTATCATCACTTTGAAACTTTCAAATGATACTTGTTTTATTTTTGAATACTTAGTAGTACAGTGAGGAGTTCAAAGACATTAAGACTACAATCAAGCAGAACAATGCCTGTTTCACCTTCAAGTACAAAGTGTTAACCTTATATCTAAACCTCATTTGAATACCAATGCCCTTATCATCACCGTTAAAACCATAACACAAATATCTCTAGTTAAGCCAAGTACTCTGAATAGGACATATTTAGAAAAAATTTTAATAGTTCTCTAACTGCATAAAATAACCAAATGAGAAATATTCAGGCCTATTCCAATGACCCAGTCTTCACATGAGAATTAGATGACATCTATCAATTGCCTATATAATAAATACAATGATTTCATTAAATCAACCCATTCTATTTAGAAATATCTATAACTGTGGAAGCCAAAAATCTAATGTTACAACATACCTACAAATGGCCCCATGCCCGGGCACAATGTCACATTTTCCATCATTCAAGCAGAAGTTAGGTTGCAGGTCACAGAGACTCTGACAAGGTAATTCATCCACACTCAGGTACCCAGGGTAGCATCTGCACTTTGCTTCTCCACTCCAAGTGTTGACCAGACATTCAGAAAATTCATTGCAGGCCTGAAACTTGCAAGGGTTGGCTTCATCACCTCAAATATCAAACAAATCAAAATATGATGCAAGGAAAGGCAAGAAAATGTGATTCACCTGATTGATAAATTTGTGTCAAATTTCTCTGAAACTGAGAGTCAAATCATAAAACTTTATGTCCCTGGCAAGCCACTACATGTTTTATTTAGAGATTATGTCAAAACCATAAAAATCAATGTCATGTAACCACAGATCTAAATTAAACAGTTTCCATATACTATTCATTGCCACAAACCTTATCTTGCTATAGTCTACGCTGTCTGTACACAATGCCTCCTCCACACTGAGACCACAGAATGAGGGAAGAGGACCCAGAGAAGAACTGACAAGGAGCCTCGCGGTATAGCTTAATAAGAGCAGCCTTTGAAATAGTCTAAATTTGTGAAGGCCAAAGTTAGAAAAATAAACCATCCCAGTACCTCCTCAGATCACGCCCAACAATATTTTGGCTTCAGTAAATTCGTGGGGTAAAGGGGAAAATGACAATAAAAATTTAATTAGGACAATAACCATCAAAATTGATGCAAGACATTGACCATTGATGGGCCTTCCACACTGGCATGATTCCATCATATGCTCTTCACTGCTTGCTGAAAAAAGAGAAAATGGGTAGAAATGATCCACTGGCTCATTTATAAGAAAAAGTGTAAAGTTTAGCTTGAAAGCTAAAGGGAATTTTTTAAAACCCAGACTAGGCTCTTAGTTTCAAGAAAAAATAATAATGTTATGAAATGCAATGATTTTCTTTGCTACGCTGGGGACTGAAAGCAATTTGGCACAAGTCTATGACACCCTTAAAATTTAGAGGATCTCTAAAGCTGGTCTCCCTTAAGCTAATGTAGGATTAGGGAAATACATTAGGCTATATAGTACCCCCTAAAAGTTCATGTCCACCCAGAACCTCACAATGTGAGTTTATGTGAAAATAGTCTTTGCAGATGTAATCAAGAAGAGGTCATACTAGATTGAATGGAGCCCTAATCTGATGATTGATACCCTTATATGGTAGAAGGAAGTCTGGATATAGAAACAGAGAAGAAGGCTATATAGAGATAGAGGTAGATGTTGGAGTAACATGCCAAAGAGTGTGAAAAATCAGCATAAACTACACAAGTTAGGAAAAGGCGCACAAGGATTCTTCCCTAGAACTTGAGTAGAACATGGGTCTGTAGTGCTTTGACTTTGGACTTCTAGCCTGAAGAATGTGAGAGGATAAATTTCCTGTGTTATAAGCTACCCAATTTATAACACCTTGTTAAAGCAGTCTAAGGAAATAAATACAGGAGATCACTGCCAAGATGCTCATATAACAAGGAAATGTGTACACAAATGTACTGACAGTTTCTACAGGTGAATGCTCAATAGGATTCCACTGTGCCTTTCCTAAATCTTTATGTTCTTGCCCTAAGAATCATTTTGTGGCTCTGTGTGGGGAAACTGAAACTCTCACCTAACAATAGTATGCAGAAAACTAGAAGTGGTTAACAAGGAGCTAATCTATCAACTATGAAGCCACTCTCATATAACAAGGAAATGTGTACACAAATGTACTGACAGTTTCTACAGGTGAATGCTCAATAGGATTCCACTGTGCCTTTCCTAAATCTTTATGTTCTTGCCCTAAGAATCATTTTGTGGCTCTGTGTGGGGAAACTGAAACTCTCACCTAACAATAGTATGCAGAAAACTAGAAGTGGTTAACAAGGAGCTAATCTATCAACTTAATGAAGCCACTGTGATCAAATAAAGAGAACATTCCAGCCCAAAGTGCATGTGAATACCTTTTGACCTTAGGAATTGTAAAATATTATGGTGTCTAAACATTCTCTTGTGGTGTCTTTCTGCAGATGTTTCTTGTGTATCTACACAAGATAATGTGCTGATAATGTGTGTATAAATAACCAGGTTTGCCTCAATTAAAGCAGACAGTCTTTTGTCTCCACTCTGCCTAGAGTGTCTTTCCTTTTCAATCCTCACTCTCTCCTTCAGGTACTGTTCAACTAGTGGGGGCTGGTCCCCCACAGTTCTGCAATCAGAAAATAATCCAATCTTGACCAAGAAGTGGGGAATAGGAATGTACATAGATATTCTTTGCTGATAAAAGCAAAATTTTCTTGGACACTGTTTGTGAAAGAAAGTTAGGCAATATACGGGTCAGTCTTGCTTTAGCCAACCTTGACATAAAATGAAACAAAATAACACATATAGTAGGAAAATTCTATTTGAAAATTTTAAAACTTTGTGGCCACTCTTTGGTTTTGAGTGGATCTGTGTGAGGTTAACATACAGAACAGATGCAAGAGGAGACCTATATGTAAGACTGTAAAGTCAGCCAAGGAATCTATATTTTCCATGGATACAGAAAAACTACAGATATATTCATAGGGGAAAGCAGGACAAATGCTGATCCCTTTTGCTTCCAGAGACCAAGCCTAATATTTTAATCATATAAATAAGACTGAGGTTTTAAGTCTGTTTCCCATCCTTTGTGCTGGCTACAAGTGGATGGCCAGAAGAGCTTGCCTATGAAAAAGTACCTTCATGACTTTATGAAGAAAAAAGGTAGACCTGTAGCTAAGTTTGGGATGAGAAACAGGGATCTAAATTATAGAATGAATTACACACACATTCTGGCTTTTCATGAGCAGCTTTAGGAGAATTGATGGGCTAAGAAAAATTAAAAAGGAGGAAATGTGAAGAAGGTCTGGAAAAGGTTTTTATGGCCACATGGTAGTTGGACAGGTCCTGGGGTGAAGTGAGCCAGTGAGAGTTGACCTTGAAAGGATGGCTGAGGCTGGTTATGCCTAACAGTAACACTTTTAAAACATATGCTGTGCTTCAAAAAAGCCTCCCCCATTATCCTCACATCATCAGTAAATATCTGCTAGGATCAACTGTCTTGTAGTAAAGCCTTTGGAAAATATAAAAATGAGATTAAGATCTATATTCATTTAACATAAAGAATAATCGTAAAGGGCTGGAGATTTAGCTCAGTGGTTCTGCCACCTGACTCACAGATGCAAGGTCCTGAGTTTGATCTCCGGTACAAAAGAAAAGAATAATCATAGGTGTTGAGACACATGTAACTCAGAGATTATGAGATACTTAAATTCTCTTACAATGCCTAGAGATAATAAGGACTGGGGTTAGATAAATGCAGGATTCACACTGTGTGGAAGAGACTAATGCCAGTTCATTTGAACTATAAAAGAAAAAGTGGCCCTACTAATCTGGATGACTTCACATGCAGCTGATATGTGAGTTTCATAAAAAATTGAAAAAAATGCATTCATCTATTATAATTCTCTTTAAAAAGAAATATATTAGGGCCTGAAGAGGTAGCCTAGTGATTGTTTGCTTACGTAGCACATGAGAGGCCTTAGATTTGATGTCTAGTATCCATCAAAAAAACTAAATAGCACAAATGCCCATCAACTGATGAATGGATAAAGAAGATATGTTTTGTTTTTGTTTTTTGTTTTTTTTTTACTGGCTTAATCTTTACACTAGCCACCTGAAATATGCAGGCCAGGTAAGAGCAAGAGATAAAATAATTCATCTAAAGCCAGATAAGTGATAAATGACAGAGGAGACCTAAGAAATCTGGCCTTCCAAATTGTAATTAATTGCTTCTTCCATTACATCACATGGTAATGTGCCAACAGCCTGAGAGAACTCACGTGGATATTGGAGGATTAGCTGAATGATTTTCCTCACTTTCAATGGATAATAATCCTTCGAGAATTTGAAAGGAAAGAATGTTTGCTTCTTTCCCAGTTGAAAAGCAGAGCTGACTTTCAAACCAGTTTGAGAGTAAAAGGTATCAGAGAAATATGAACCTAGATTTTCCACCTCACTTCTACTCAAAACTACTGTCCTCTGGTATACGAAAGGGAAAAAAGAATAAACTCAGGTTCCAACAGTATTCTCTGGACTCAAGTCTGCCAAATAAAAACAACATTTAAGTTTATGCATTCACAGCATCTCTGAGTACCTTCTGTGTTCAAAACACTAAGTCTGTCTAGAAAGTGGTTAATATAATAGACATACTCGCAGTCCTTATGGAAAGCTTAACTGGGAAAAATAGATGTTAAGCAAATATGCACATAAATTCCATGAATGATGCTAACTCTACAAGGGAAAAGAATATGAGGCCATAAGATACACTAATAAAAAAGACCCAGTATAGATTATGGAGAGGATCATGACAGTAGAACGAGGCATAAAGGGTGAACAGGAGTTAGCTAAGATGGGAGTTTAAACAAATAGGACACTGGTTCAAAGGCATGTGAAAAGTCTTTAAAGTCATAAAATGATTCTGGTCTGGAAGGAAGGATCTAAAAATGGGCTGATTTGACTGGACTACAGTGAACAAAGAGGTCAGTTTCACTGGATGATACTGGAAAAGTAATTGAGGACCAGGCCTTGTGGCTACTAAACCAAGAAGCCAGTGAAATATTTTAAGCAGCAAAGTGAAATAATTTGATTACTATTTTTAAAAAGGCACTATGCAGAGATTTTTAATAAGATGAGATCCCAGTTTTTGATTCTTTGTGCTAGTTCCCATGCTACTGAGGATTTGTTCATAGTCTTTTCCTATGCCAATGTCTTCAAGAGTTCTGCCTAACTTATCTTCCAGGAAATTTAGGGACTCTTTTTTAATATTTAGATCTTTAATCCACTTGGATTTTAGTTTAGTGCATGGTAAAAGCTAAGGGTCTAGTTTTAATCTTTGGCAGGTTGAAATCTAGTTTTTCCAACACCGTTTATTAAAGAGGCTATCTTTTCTCAGTGAGGATGGTTGGCTCCTTTGTCAAAGATGAGGTAGCTGAGTACATCTGGAGTTGTTTCTGTACCTTCCAATCTATTCCACTGATCCTCAGGTCTGTTTCTTTGCCAGTACTATGCTGTTTTTATCACCGTGGCTTTGTAGTATAGTTTCAAATTGGGAATTATTATACCCCCTGCCCTTTGCCTAGGATGGCTTTTGCTACTCTAGATCTCTTCTGGTCCCAAATGAATTTTTGGATTATTTTCTCTAGTTCTGTGAAATATACTGTTGGAATTTTAATTGGCATTGCATTGAATCTGTATAGCAGCTTTGGTAGTATGGCCATTTTCACTATGTGGATTCTTCCTACCCAGGAGCAGGGATATCTTTCCATTTTCTTATTTCAACAACCGAGATTTCATCTTATTAAAAAGCTTCTGAACTGCAAAAGAAACCACCCACAGAGCTAAGAGACAACCTACAATGTGGGGAAAAATTTTTACCAGCTGCTCCTCAAACAAAGGACTATTATCTAGAATATATAAAGAACTCAAAAAATCAAACCCCCCCAAATATAAAGACCCAATTCAGAAATGGGCATTTGAAATGAACAGACATTTCTCAGACAAACAACTAAAGAGGAAGAAAAGGGCTAAAGGTATAGGGCAAGTGGGAAGGGTAGGGGAAAGGAAATAAGGGAAAAGAAAAAATATGAGAAAACGAAAAAATGGAAAAAAGGTTTTGTAAGTGGGGAAGGGAGGAAAGGGTGAAGGGAGGGCAGGGGTATGGGGAAAAACTGAGAACCAAGATCTGTCATGTAAAGGTACAAGATCCCAATGATGAATGTAACTGTACTGTATACCTAAAAAGTACCAATAAACTCAAAAAGAAAAAAAAGGCACTATGACTGCTGCCTCGAGCACAGATAAGCGGGGGAATAGGAAAGGAAGCAGGAAAATTGATCCAAATGAGAGATAGTGGTAATTTGGCTCAAATCATCATTATCTCTCATTTCTTTTCTTTTCTTTTTTTTTTAGGGCAGGGTTGAGACAGGGTTTCACTATGTAGTTGAGACTGACCTGGAACTCACTATGTAGCCCAGGCTGGTCTTGAACTCACAGCGATGCTCCTGCCTCAGCCTCCTGAGTGCTGGGAGGCTTATTTCTTACCTTTTATTTCTTCCCCAGTATCAGCCAGTGAAAACTAATCTCTTTGCTCACTGTCCTCTAGTCAAACTAACCTGTTTTTAGTTCCTCACACACCACTTGAGTAGCAGTAGTGGTTATGATACAATGAGTCTGTGGTTTGAGGTATATTTTGAATTAAAGTAAGTGGTAAGTGAAAGTGTGGGGTGATGAAAACTATGGTATTGGGAATGACTGCTCAGGTTTCTAGTTTAAGTAATTCAGTAGATAAATGTTCCATTTATGAGATGGAGAAGCTGAGGAGAAGAAGTAGATTTAACTGGAAAATTAGGAAAAACAGAAAATAAGAGCTTAAGCTTTATATATATATATAGGCTACATCAGGTACATCCAAGTGGAGATTGACAAGTAAATAGCTACATAATGATTCTGGAGTTCAGCAGAGAAGTCTGATCTGCTTACATATAAAAATGTGTAGAGTGATATTTACATAAAACTTGAAACAACTGGAATGAATAGGTATGTAAAAACATACATTAAAAAAAAAGAATCTAAATTTTGGGGGCTTCCCATCATAGCAGCACAATTTATAATAGCTAAATTTGAAAGTAGCCTATATATCCATCAACAAAAGAAAGGATACAGAAAATGGGGCTTTTATACATAATAGTGTTGCTCTTCCATAAAGAAGGATAAAAGAGTCATTTGTAGGAAAATGGATGTGAGTTAAGATCATAATATTAACTGAAATATATCAGACACACAAGCTTAAATATCACATAATTTCGCTTATATAAGAAACTCCAAATATAAATAGGGATAAAGTAAAAGATAGATAAAAAGTAGGAAGAAATTTTTTATCAAATGGGAAATGGGATGGAGGAAAAGGGGGTTAGGGAAGGAAAGGAAATGAAATAAAGAATTGAGATATTACGTACATGTACCAACTTCCCACAAGGAATGCAACCATTTTGTAATGCAAACATGTACTAATATAAAACAAAACCTGAAAAAAAGTAAGTGAAAAAAAATAGATCCAGTGGATAAGTAAAATGGAAAGTCTAGTAGAGTGTGTTGAAAAAGGAAGGAGGTGAATAAGCCAAGATAATAATTGTGAACAAGCCTATGAAAACAGAATGATACTGGTATGCTTGGAAGAAATGTTTTTCTAATTATGAAGATGTGGAAAACTGATCTGACATAGTACTCTTACTTTTCCTATGAGTATTAGATTCACCTTGACTTAATGAAAAGAAAACACAGAAGAATACTCACTGGATTTTACTAAGAAACCTCCATGGTAAGTAATATCATTACCTGATTCTACATCGAGGGAGTATTTATCAATAGCCAAGTTCAGGGTCTGGTAGGCAGTAGTACAAAAGTCTTCTAGAATCATGTGTACAGCATTGTTGACATTAGGAGGGATGGACGTGGCAAACTTCATTCGACTATTCACCACAATACTGCCATTTCTGAAGTTCAGAATTTCCAAGTTCTGGAACCCTGTGAGATTTGACTGAAGATAGGGAACCAACTGCAATACACAAAACATGATAAATTGATTGACAAAGTTTTTCATTTTATTCAGTACATATTAAAAAGACAAAACACAAAGAAACAAGAATGAGTTCCTTGCTCACTTTATGTCAACATTCAAACTGTTTTAAAAAATGATAAAACTGTTTTAAAAAATTAGGAATGAGACTATAAATTAAAAATGTTATAAGATTTTCATGATGAGAATACTATGATACTTGGGAACCTCATAAAACTCATAAACAGTTTTTAATACCCAGGGAATTTATTTTCTTTTCTTCACTGATAGATCACAACAATAAAGGCCTGGATCCTCATAAATCTGTTCTCAGAATAAGTGTGAGCTTTTACGTTTTATTTTAGACCCAGAATTCATGGAATTTGATCTTCAGTGTCTAATCTATTCATATCACCCTCATGCCACATTTCTTGAATTCACCTGTCTTATTGTTCTCCTACCAACTCTGTGGGTGGTAAGAAATGAATGCACAGTATCCTGGGTTCAGTTTTGGGGTGCTTGATTAGGACAGAGGATTCATATATGATTATTCACTCATCCACAATATGGTCCACTCATTGGTTGAGCTTACCAATTCTAAGAATCTTTGTTCCAGTGCTTTATATTCCAAAGAGTTTTTATTAAATAGATCTTCTGAAAACAGCATGTTTGTCACTCGGAGGCTGAAGAAAACTACTAAAGCTCCTTCAGTCTGGGCATGACTCAAGTCACCTCCTCTTGTGGGCTGAGCCACAGGAGCCATCTCTGTGGAGTGAAAATTTGTAAACATTTTCACATAACTACCAACCTTTCCATTCTGCCCTTGGATTAGCTCAGGCTTATAGTAAGCTGGGCCTACCCGGTCCAGTTCTAATGAAATATCCTGTACACCCATAATTACTTCATCCTCTAGCAGGGTGGAGCTTGTGGTTGGAGGTAATCTGATGGACTGTGTCGTGGAAGTTTTCAACCAGAGTCCATCAGTACTCTGTGGTGTACTTGCCAATGAGTCTCTAGGTAATTTCCCTAGGGAAGAGGTACTTGCTGAAGCTATATGTGATTCTGGGAATATGGTCCACACAGGCTTCAGATCTGGTTTCACCACTGAAGTCCTACTGTCACTGAAGTCATGGCTAGATGACCCTCTAGTTCGTTTTATATCCTTGGTCAGGAAGGTATTCACTTGATTTGTTGTTTTATCAGAAGTAGCTGTCAGTAGAAAAGGTGCTTTGGTAACTGAGTGGTAATCAGCATCGGGAATCTCTGAGGTGTGCTTAGAAAAAGTTAGAGAAGTAGAATGAATTGCAGACACTGCAAAGATGGGCACAGTAGGTTCAACAAGGGACTCTTCCTTTGCAAAGTTTGTGAATTTCTCATCATTCTTATACTTTGAATGCTCAATAATTCGGTCTGTGTAATCCATTTTGTTATCTACGACAAGTGCCTCATCCATACCTTCAGTTGGCAAAAGTGAATCCTCATCTTCAGGCCATGACTTAGACAGTGGTTCAGTGCTCTTCTCAAATGAAGTCTCACTCCATGTCCAAGAAATCAGATCCATCTTTTGTCCAGACCCAGAACCCAAACCACTCTCAAATATGAACTCTTTTTCTATGGATGTGTCTGGAAACAAATGGCTTGCTTCTAATTGGTCTTTGACTTCAGAGGCCAAGGGGTCAAAGTCAAAAGGTACAGCTACTTCTTTAGCAAGAAGATCTAAGGTAACAGAAGAGATTAGATCTGGTGAAGATGTCAGGGACACACCAGCGTCTTCCCAGGGTGGTATTGTTTGTTTTAGCACAGGATGAATGAATGTACCTGAAGGCAATGGGTCAGCAAAAAGAAAATCTTCTGACTCTTCAACATTGTCTAATCCTAGAAATAAAGTTTTACATTCATTAATCTACAAAGTTGCAAAAATATATTCCTATTTCTCCTAATAAAACCAGTTACCTATTTTTTCTACTAAAATAGCAGGAAAGTTGCTGACTTTTATATCAAGCAAATAAGATGATATGATAATGTGTTTATAATGTGAAGTAATCACTTGTGAATATAGGCCACCCATTTCTGAAGACAAAACTTTGACTGTTGAAATATTTAATCTTCAGATATTTTTATCCATGAAAATAGAAGCTTGCTGATAATTCTGCTGACAACGAAGATTGAATCCAGTGGAAATTTAGGGAGAAATTTTCCTGGAAATTGTGGTTCCTCCTGAATTTCTCTCTTATATTTATTATCTATCATCCTTCAGATTTGCCCAATTTTCAAAATCCTGAACTCATTACTTACATCTTCCTTTTTCATGTGTATGTTCCAACACTAAGTCACACTTATTTTTCCTTTCCTCTACAATATCTAGAAGATCATCCATTTTACTTTCACTTATTTATCTGTTCTTGGGTTGCCCTAGTTCAAGTTATCCCCTTCTCAATACAACCTCAATTAAAATCTTCAGATTAGCGCCCACAGTTAACACTATGAGACATAATCTGGTCCAGAGTTCTGCAATACCATTAGTAACTGCGAGCTGCTATGTGGACCAGAGTGGTGCAGCTGCAGGCAGGTCCCAGCTAGGGCCCAGCTCTGGCCCCAGAGGTGTGAGCACACGCCCCCAATCCAAAGGCTGACTAGAAAAGAGCTGCACAGGTATGCAACCTTTATCCAGAGTTCCACCATACCATCAGTAAGTGTGTGCACATCCCGGGGAGTAGCTGTGTGGACCAGAGTGGCACATCTGCAGGTAGGTCCCAGCTAGGGCCCCATACTGCCCAAACCCCAGAGGTGCAGGCACACGTGCCCAAGCTATAGCACAGCTAGAAAACTGCAGTACAGGTGTGCAAGCTTCATCCAGAGTCCCGCCATACCTGGAAAAGAACTACACAGACACACAAGCAACAGCCAGATGCTCAACCCGATACCACTGATAAGTGCCTGAAGACCCTAGCCAAAAGCCTATAAAGACAAAAGGAAGTGGGATACACAGCCTGGATCCAAAGGCCCCCTACAGACAACTACAGAAGGGCCCCAGTGAGAGGCACACCTAGATACCATCCCAAGTGCACACAGGCATCAGTCAGAAGCTTGCCCAGACAAGAGGTCAGCTCAGGGATATAGAAGGCCACCATTCTAAACCTAGGAATTGGTGTACTAGGGAACAGCAGAGTAAAGGCTGCTTGGTGGCCTGCTGAGAATTGAAGACAACTTGGTGAGCAAAAAGTAACCTCAACAAAGGCATAGTAAGCTGCATTTGTTGAAATGAGAAAACATGAAAATTAGTGGCAAAAATAGACTTAAAGATCACCTAAGGCAACCCCAAAGAGAAATGAGATGGAAAAATCTGATACTCAGCCACCTGGACTCCCTGAACTAGCAATGAAAGAGGATTAGGAAAAAAATGAAATCAGAAATAATTTCCCAAATAACAGCAGAGATTGTGCCCATAGTACAAGACATGATTAATAAATCTAGAGCAGACACAGACAAAAAAATAGAGAAGCTGAGAAACATGATGGGATCGCAACATAGGAAACAAATGGAATCCATAAAACAGATGCAACAGATTTCTAAAAGATTAACAACTCCATTGAAAGTTTACACAGCAGAACAAGCCAATGCAAGGACAGAATTTCAGATATAGAAGATAAAACTGCAATTAGTGATCAGGAAAATCTCTTAAAAATAGTAAGGGACCAAGAGAGATCAATCCAGCAGCTGCTAGACAATTTAAAGAAGAATAACATAAGACTGACTAGAGTCAATGAAGAAACAGGACAGAGTACAGATGATAGAAAAAGAGAGTTCACCAAAGTAATGGCAGAAAACTTCCCAAATAGGGGAAAAGAATGTGACATACAGATAAGTGAGGCTTACAGGACTCCAAATAGCCATGATCAAAATAAAATCTACACATAGGCATATAATAGTTAAGATTCCAGAAACCCAACAGAAGAACAAAATTCTACAAGCAGTTAAGAGAAAACAAATCACAAACAAAGGAAAGCCCATCATCAGAATCACAACAAACTTCTCAACACAAACCCAAAAGGCAAGAAGAGCACAGAGTGACATATTTCAAGCCCTAATGGAAAACAACCTCCAACCCACATTGATGTACCCTGCAAAACTATCTTTGAAAATTGATGGAGAAATAAGATACTTTCATGACACAGAGCACCTTAAGAACTTCGTGAATACTAAACCAGCACTCCATAAAATTTTAAAGAATATCCTAGGAAAAGACAATGAGGATCACAACCTCAGGAAGCCCAGCAGAATAAATCCATCAGGCATGACAAGAAATTAAATGCAAAGGGGGAGAATCTAATGAAAAGAAAAAGTCATGACAAGGATAAATCAGTATGTATCAGTAATAACCATCAGTTAATGGTCCCAATTCACCAATCAAAAGAAATAGACTGGAAGAAGGGATTAAGAAGCAAGATCCAACAATATGCTGCATGAAGGAAACACACTTAATTCAAAAAGAAACTCACAGACTGAAAGTTAAAGTGTGGAAAACAATACTCCATGTGACAGGACCCAAAAAAAAAGCAGGAGTAGCTATCCTCTTTGCAGATCAAGTGGATTTCAAACCAACACTGACCAAGAGAGACAAAAAAGGACAATAACATCCTTGTAAAGGGAACGATCCAAGAGAAAGAGATGACAATCATAAATATATATGTACCACATACTAATTCACTCAACTAAATAAAACAAATATAAAATACATGAAAGTCAAATAATCACTAATACAATAATAATGGGGGACCTCAATACCCCATTGTCACAATAGACAGATCAACCAGACAAAAAGTTAACTATGAAATAGTAGAACTCAATCAAACTTGTGAACAAATGAACTTAACAGATATTTGCAGAGTGTTCCACCACACAAAATCAGAATACAGATTCTTTTCAACTGCACATGGACCATTCTCCAAAATACACCACATACTCGCTCACAGGATATGTTTAAATAAGTGCAAAGGAAATGATGTTATGCCCTGTGTATTATTAGACCATGGTGCAATGAAAATGGAGATCAATAGCAAAAGAAACCATAAGAATTTCATAAGCACATGGAGAATGAACAACACACATCTGAATAATCAATGGGTCACAGAGGAAATTGAAGAAAAATACAAAAGTTCCTACAATTAAATGACAGTGACAATACCACATATCAAATCTATGAGACACAATGAAAGCAGTCTTATGAAGGAAATTCATAGCAGTGAATACTCATATTAGGAAAACAAAGTGAGCTCGATTATACAACCTGATGCTGAACCTCAAGCTTCTAGAAAAAGAAGAGCAGGACAAACCCAAAGCTCATACAAGGGAGGAAATTATAAAGATCAGAGCAGAAGTTAATGCAATGGAGACTAAGAGAACAATACAAAAAAAAAATCAATGTAGCCAAGAGTTGGTTCTTAGAAAGAATAAACAAAATTGACAAAGCCTTATCCACCCTTAAAAAAAAAGAAAAGAAAGAGAAAAAAATAAAAAAAGAAAAGGCTCAAATCCAGGCAATTAGGAATGAAAAGGGTGAAATTACAACAGACCCAGCAGGAATCCAGGGGATCATCAATACCTACTTTAAGAACTCATACACCAATAAGTTGGAAAATACAGAAGAAATGGACAGATTCCTAGATTTGTGTGAATTATCTAAGTTGAACAAAGGTGACCTAAAAATTCTAAACAACCCAGTATCAATCAATGAAATTGAAAATATAATTAAAAACTTACCAACTAAGAAAAGTCCATGTCCTAATGGCTTCACTGCTGAATTCTATAAGACATTTAAAGAGGATCTATTGCCACTACTGTTTAAACTCTTCAGTGAAATTGAAAGGGAAGCAATACTCTTGAGTTCATTCCTGGAAACAAGTATACCCTAGATCCCCAAAGCAGAGAAAGACCCAAATGAAAAAGAGAACTACAGGCCAATCTCACTAATGAATATAGGTGCAAAAATCTTTAATAAGATACACAGAAATATAATAAAGAAGAAAAGATGATACAGCCTGACAAGTGAGATTCATCCCAGGGATGCAAGGATGGTTCAACATACACAAATCAAATAAATGTAATACACTGTGTTAATAGAGCCAAGGACAAAAACCATACGATCATCTCAACAGATACAGAGAAAGCATTTAACAAAATCCAACATGCATTCATGATAAAAACCCTCCAAAAAATTGTAATAGATGGTTTCTACCTCAATCTGATGCAAGCCATCTATGAAAACCAACAGCCAATATCATACTAAATGGTCAAAAACTTAAATTAGTCACACTAAAATCAGGAACAAGAAAAGGATGTCCACTATCACCACTCCTGTTCAATATAGATTTGGAAACAATCCATACAGCAATTAGACAAGAGAAAGAAATAAAAGGAATAAGGATAGGAAATCAAGAAGTCAAACTGTCATTATTTGCAGATGACAGGATACTTTATTTAGAAGATCCCAAGAACTCCACTAAATGTCTTTTAGGCTTAATAACCAAATTCAGCAAAGTAGCTGGATATAAGGTTAACACACAAAAATCAATAGCTTTCCCATACATGATAAACAGACTCACTGAGAGAGAAGCGGGACAAACAATTCCTTTTACAATAGCATCCAAAAACATTGAAATACCTAGGAATCAACCTAACAAAAGGAATCAGAGACCTCTACTCTGAAAACTAAAGCACTCTATAAAAAAAAAAAGAGGTTGAAGAGGATATCAGAAAATGGAAAGACATCCCTTCCTCCTGGGTAGGAAGAATCATCGTAATTAAAAATAGCCATATTTCCAAAACTGCTATATAGATTCAGTGCAATCCCAATTGAAATCCCAGCAGCATACTTCACAGACCTTGAGAAAACAATACAGAAATTCATTTGGAACAAGAAGAGACCTAGAATAGCAAAAGCAAGTCTAGGTAATAGAGACAAGGCAGTGGGTATCACAATCCCCAATTTGATCCTATACTACAAAGCTAGTGTGATAAAAGCAGCATGGTAGTGACAAAATAAAACAGACCTGAGGGCCAGTAGAACAGATTCGAAGATGCAAAAACGACTCCAGACATACTCCGCCACCTCATATTTGACAAAGGAGCCAAACACCCTCACTGGAGGAAAAACAGCCTCTTTAATTTAATGGTGCTGGAAAAACTGGGTTTCAACTTGCCAAAGATTAAAACTAGACCTATAACTCCACCATGCACTAAACTAAAATCAAAGTCGATTAAATATCTAAATATCAAAACGGAAACACTAAACCATATGGAAGAGAGGTTAGGTAGAACTCTCGAAGACACTGATGTAGGAAAAAATTTTATAAACAAAACCACAGTTGCCCATGAACAAGCACAAGCAATCAAGAAGTGGGATCTCTTCTTATTAAAAAGCTTCTGCACAGCAAGACAAACAGCCAATAGTGTGAAGAGACAACCCACAACATGGGGAAAACTTTTCACCACTCTTCCTCAGACAAAGATTTACTATATAGAATATATAAATAAACTTAAAAATATCAGACCTCCCAAATTTAAATCCCAAAATGGGCATCTGAAATGTACAGACATTTCTCAGACAAAGAAGTAGAAATAGCAAGTAAACATACAAAAAATGTTCAACATCATTGGTCATTTGAGAGATGCAAATGAAAACAACACTGAGATTCTATCTCACCCCAGAAATATGGCTGCAATCATGAAATCAACCAATGACAAATGCTGGTGGGGCTGTGGTGAAAGAGGAACCCTGCTCCACTACTGGTGAGAGAGCAGACTGATGCAACCACTGTGGAAATCAGAGTGGAGGTACCTCAAAGAACTAGAATTGGAGGTACCATTTGACCCTGCTATTTCCCTGCTTGGTATCTTCCCCAAAGAATTAGAAGAATCATACCACAATGATATATATGCACCCAAGTTCATAGCAGCACAATTCCTAATAGCTAAAACTTGGAAGCATCCCAACTGCCCATCAACAGGACACTGAATAAAGACAATGTGTTTTTTTAATAAAATGGAGTACTACTCAGCCTAAAGAATGACAAACTAGAGACATTCATAACTAAATGGATGCACACTGAGGTGACACTCTTAGGTGAAATAAATAGGATGCATATGTATAAACATCAAATAGTTTTGCTAGTGTGAGAAACTGAAAGTGTAAATAAGGATTAAAAGGTATACTAGATAATGTTAAATAGGAAGAAAAGGTGCAAAGGGGAAGGGAGATTAAGGGGTAGCGGAAAAAAGATGGGAATGGAATTAACATGAGAAAAAGAAAAAATGGAAATAAAGTCTTCGTAGAAAGGGAGGGGTAAAGTGGTTGAAGGGAGGGCAGGGGAATAGAGAAAAAATAAGAACCAAGGTGGATTATGTAAAAGTACAAATTTCCAATGATGAATGTCATTACATTGTATACCCTAAATGTACCAATAAAATTAATAAAATGTAAAAAAATAAAAAACAAGGATTTATCTTCGATGCCATTTGTCTACCATTTAAATATTCAAGCAAATAATATATGTAGTTCTTTAATAGTAGTGGAAGTAGTCATTTAATTAAATTTTATAATCTTTGAGATGACCTTCAAAATACCTATTAAATGATTTCTATTTCATTTCCAAACTAATTCTATTTACTAGTTTGGACTATCTAATCTCACAAATTAAATCTGATTGTCCCTTCTCATTCATGTTTCTCAAGCCAATTTCTTCTTAGGGAATGCCACAACATTTTTCTGTTCACCATAGACCCTTTCCTCTCTTTAAAATCCTTTTCATCTTATACAACAGCAATGTACGAGAAGTGATTAAAATTTCTCACCATTTTCTAATAAGTGAGATCCAGATGTCCTTTCCTCAGAAGCCACAAGCAAGCCATTCTGAAGTACTGCTGGAGTGACAGAATGAAGAGTCAAGCTGCTAACCTCTAAAACCTCTGGGGAAGAACTGTGGACCACCTTCGAGGAAGCTAATTTAGGTGTAGACACTAAATCGCCCAAAGGACTTTCTGACCGGAGTTCCCTACCAGTGGTTGAGGGAGAATCAGAGCTGAAGTCAAGTGGTGAAATATTGCTGGTGGTGGGTTCATCTGCTGAGGGCCATTCAGCCTGAAGGGTATTATCCTGGAGGGAGAAAAAGGCTAAATCATACCATAGATAAAAGAAGCACAGAAAATACCATCTATTCCAAAATCTAGAGAGAAGGAGGGGAGAGGGACAAGGGCTTTACAATCAAACAAATTTGTGACCAACTCCCAGTTCAGCCACTTAACTACAGTAGTTGGGAAATTTAGATTAAAAACTATGTAACCTCTCAAAACTCACCTGTAGAAGGAGCAAAGGTGAGATAATAGATTTAAAAGACACTAAACAGTGACTTTTTTTAAATAGTAAATTTGAAGGAGAAAAAATGATTGTTTCTTTTGCAGTAGATGGTTCATTTCCCTCCATTTTTAGATTTAAATTAATTTAAATAAATAAAAGTTACCAATATCTGCAATCATTGACAAAGACCTAAGCACATTGCCCACAGCAGGAACAATTAGCAATTTTATTAATCATTCTGAATGATACTATAAATTAATGTCCTCCATTTTTATGAGAAATGCCACCATAAAAAGTGGTCTAATAATTTCAAATAAGTAACCCGGCCTGTGAAATGGCATTATATCTTGAAAATACAATTTCCTCTTTCTAGTTTTTTTTTCCAGTGTAACACTAATCTTAACATTTAGCTTCAGGGTCACAAAAGCAGAAGCACATCCCTTGAAGATGCTTATTATTTAATCTTATGAAGATCAGTCTATCTAAAAAAAGCTTAATGATGATGGTAATAGGTAAAATGGCCATGATATTTGGTAGAAGTTTATATATTTTTATTATATGGCATCAAACTGGAGTCTAATAACTTGAATCTATTGAAGTAAAACCTACTGTATGAGAGAAAATGTACAGTATGTAAGAGAAAGCTGAAGGCCATCTTCAAATAACAAGATACAATTACAAATGATCTATGGAGAAAGAGAAAGATTTCAGGGCAACAAATTCCTTCTTGGGGAATCCGCCATTAGAAGTGGAACCGAGAACAGTGAGAATTAGCTCATGAATCAAGCCAATGAAGATGATACAATCAAGGAGACCTCTTCTGGCATTCATCCAGTAAACTTCAGTATCTTAAGAGTATGTAATTACTAGGAGCAGAGTTATCCTTACATAATTATAAGCTGTGGGCACAGTTTCTAATTGCTGACCTGAGTGTGTGTACTTCTGCACAAACTCATACAAAATAAACACACAAAGCTATTCCATTTTTCTATTTACAAAGTTGACAATATTCTGGATCTTTTAAGAATGGACCAGATGGAGAGTAAGAGCTCAGGTCCAGCTAAATGAGAAGACATCAAACTGAAGTCTAAAATATGAAATCAGTAATATTGAGTAAAAATACCATCCTGTCTTGCCAAAGGCTTGGATGCTTTTCAGAGCCACTTTTGGTCTACAAAAAATCTTATTAGGAAACAGGGCCAAATATACATACATGCATGCATGCATACACACACACACACACACACACACACACATGTGTGTGTATATGTGTGTGTGTGTGTGAAATGTGAACATAAAAAAGTACCAAATTTTAGAACTAGAAAGACTCTTAAGAATACAGTCCCATCATGTCTAGTTTTGATTTTGGGGTTTTTTAGAGATAGGATCTCACTTTGTAGTTCAGGCTGGCCTTGAACTCACTATGTACCCCAAGTTGGCCTTGAACCCATGCAAATCCTTCTGCCTCAGCCTCCCAAGTTCTGCGATTAGAGGCATGTGCCACCACACCTGGCTCCAATCATGTTTATTAAAGACAAAGAAATGAAGTTCACAGGAGTAAAATGCCCATGGCCACAAAAGAGCAGAGAAAAACTCAGAATCAAAAGCTGAACATCTGGATTTCCTTGTCCAAGTGTTTTCCCCCACTATAGTGGGCTATTTGTTCATAGGTCTCAAGTGCCTATACCCAAATGGTGAAAGGACTCCTAGAGAGTAACCAAGCAAGACCTGGCAGTCCATACTCATTAGTTAGCATTTTCCATAGATCCAGTTGAACACAGAGAGGAAGGAAAGAAGGAGGTCATTTATTAATATTTAAATGTCTACTACATGGAATAGGAAGATTGTCTTTACAGAAAGAAAATTCTGTTCTTTTCTTTTCCTAGTATTTAAAATCTTTTTTTTTCCTAGTATTTAAGATTATCTATCTATCTATCTATCTATATATATATATTTATATATGATTTTATATATGTGTGTAAACACTTTCATATATGTATACATATATATTCCACTACATTTTTACTTATACATATTATATATCCCACTTTCATAGGAAATGTATATATATTCAGAGGAAATTAATAAGGCCATTTGTTCAATACCAAGTTCTGTTTTCCAAAAGAGCAGGGTGGTACCATATAAGAGAATTAATGTTTTTCCCTCTTAATTTTCTAAAACTACTTCTGGCATCTGAATCACCCTATTTGTTTAGAAGTCTGTCTACTACCAGACTGGAAACTTCTGGTAAATGGGACCACACCTTTATATCTTTATTTACTCAGCAGTTGGAATACGAAAAGCACAAAATAAACATATTTGAATGAATGAATGAAGACCAAATGAATGTATTCTGATGTCAACACTCCTTTAACCTTTCTTCTCTAATATGGAACTCAATGAAGAGAGTACTACCAGTGATTCCAATTTTCAAAACTGAGTTGCTCTATATAACCACGTAGAAGAAATAGCTGCATAGATCAATGTTTAAATGAATTCAGAAAGGCTTTCCAAATTTTCACTGCTGAGAAAATGCCAAGAAACAAAACTTTCAAGTAGCTGATATGAGATGAAAAGAAGTCTTAAGAGAGTACAAGGAGTCAGGAATGCAGACGAGAAGGGAGTTCCCCTCCTGTGTCTGTGACAGTGAGAGATTCCAATATTCCCTGTAGACAGGTAGGTCCCTAGAATTGTGGTTGCAGGTATCATCTTTGTCGCTTTAACTGCACTTGAGGAAATCATTTTCTTTTCTAGTGAATGTTTCCCTATTAGTGAAATGGAAGTAAAAATGTAGTAGGGTAAGAGGAATTCGTAATGGAGTTGGGGAGTAAAAACAAACATGGAAATTCATCCCATGCTGCATATGTGCAAATGGGAGTGTCTTCAGTCCAATTTAGAAGGATGCCTGAGAGTCCCTTTTATTTGTTAGCTAGTTGATACTTTTACTCTTCTTTATCTCTCTTCTATACACACACAATTCCACATGCTTTAGTGGCTAAACTTTCTTCAATATGTTCTTCAATATAATTTTTGTACTCTTCAATAAAAATCTATACATTGTGCCCAAGTAACTCAAATCATAATTTTGTCTTCACTATAAAAACTATTTCTGGGTAGCACAGAAAACAACTTGGTTGGCACTTAAAACTTAATTATCACCAAACAGAATCATAAATAATAACTTTTCTACCATGTGTGGTCTGGCAATGTAGACTTCATTTAAGCACTGTGAAAGGTTTAAATTTTCTGAACCAACACTTGGTACTCATGAGTTGACAACTATGAGTAATGTTTCAGGGATGACGTAAGAAAATATTCGAAATGGGAACAGCTTGAGAAATTTATGATGCCAAAGTAAGCGAGTGAGGAGACAAAGGACAAAGCATAAGTGAGTGGTTCTAGACATACAACACAGAAACATACCAAAATAGATGGTGATGTTGCCTGAAGATTTGTACTTTGGGTGTTCCAAACCAGGTCTTCACTTTGGTGAAGCAAAACTCCTCTAACTGAGGAAAGAACATTAAAGGACATTTTAAAACTAAAACATTATTGTATCTGAGGTGCAGAAATAACTAAAAAACAAGTTCTTTCTCTTTACAGACTAGATTTTAACAGAATATATGAGGCACACTTGCTTAGAAAATGTTAGTGTTTTTCAATTATTTTAATTATTAGTACAATCAGACTGAATTATAAGAATCCAACATAAAACAAATATTTTTGCCATTGTTATATTTAGGATACTACTGTATTATTTCCTTTTCTCTCTCAAGTCGATTTTTCACTCTTTTCCATATTCCCATGAAGTAGTTTCAAAGTGATTTTTTTGCATTTTAAGTTTAAAAAGTTTAAATAAATAAATAATTTGGTAAATGGAAGAATATAAAAATATGCAAAATGATTTTTATTTTAGCAGAAAACACCTTTGCAAAATAGGCTAGGGCACCAATACCTTCATTGCTGTACCAATATTAAACAGCAATTAAAAATTAGATTATATAACTAATTCAACAAAAATTTACTGAGACTTTGGTTATTACCATAGACTTTGCCCATGTGAAATCATAATAACTAATAAAGCAAAGTTTCTCTTAGGAAGCATTGCCTATGTCAGAGAAATAAATAAACACAAATTGGAAAATAAAAAATAATGTTAGTGGCATATACAATGTGTGTAACACAGGCAAAGCAGCAATTAATTTTGCCTGAAGGGGAGAAAGAATCAATGAGAGAGAGAGAGAGAGAGAGAGAGCTTGCACATGCCAGAAGTGTGACCTGGACATGTGTAAATACTGAATAGTTTCTCTAGTGCAAGAAACTAAAAGTGTAAATAAGGATCAAAATATATAATTGATCATGTGAAATAGGAAGAAAACATCTAAAGCAGAAGGGGAAGTGGGAAGGGTAGGGGAAAGGAAAAAAATATGAGAAAAGGAAAAAATGGAAACAAAGTCTTTATAAATAGGGAGGGGTGGAGGGGTTGAAGGGAGGGCAGGGGTATGGGGAAAAATCCAAGATACATCATGTAAAGATACAAATTACCAGTAATGAATGTAACTGTATTGTATACTTAAACTGTACCAATAAACTTAATAAAAAAAAAAGAAAAAAAAAGTGTGACCTGGGGTATGATTCTAACATAGAAACAGAAACTCTTCATTCACCTGTCCCCACAAGCCTGACCGATATATGGGGATCAAGCAAGCACAAGCCAAAAACCCTACTTTTATATATTTTCCAAAACTCTTTCCAGCTGTGTGTATATAGTTATCTTGTCTTCTATGGAAAATAAGCTCCACAAGATCAATAATGATCATATCTTTTGAGAATTAAAAACTCACCTAGAAAGTTCTAGCCCCATAAAGAACTCGGAAGTTGGTATGACAATAGAAATGTACTTTAAAAACAAAATACTAAATAATTAAAACATACAGTTAATGAGAAATGAAGCCACTAACTGGCATGGTCAGTATTAGATATCTTAAAGCTTTTGTTGAATTTGATTACAAATTCTAAGAGAGTTGTTGACCTTCTTTTTAGGAGGTATCTCTATCTCCAAGCTCCATGTAAAAGGGAAGTGATATCTCTGAATTTAATTTCTTAAACAATCTAACTTTGCCCATCACATAATCTTCGTGCCATTTTCCTGTCACCTTGGCTATTGACCTTCATGTTTGCACCTCATCCTCAGTCTTGCTTTCAAGCTCCCTTAGGCTTTGACTTCTTAACTATATTTTTTCTCAGTTTGATCCCAATACTCAAATTCCTAAAGTCTTCCGCCCATAAGCTGTACTTCCAGTCAGCCCCAAGTTTCAGATTGCAAGCTCTTAGAGAAGATGTTCACTATTTTATCTGGTCCAAATATTCCAAGATTCACCAAAGACAAAGGAGTATTATGAGGAAGGGAGCCCAGGGTACCTACCATGCTCCAAAATACAAAGGATTTGTTTTAGAACTAATAGATTTATATCACTAACAACTACTAACATCTTAAAGACTTGGGCAACTCATATAAAGTTAAGACTACTTTGTGGTTCTGTTTCAGCTGAGTGTCACATTAAAGTAACATTAATCTGGCAGACAAAATAGTTTAAAAGACTAATATTTGTTTTAAAATATTCTCATTTCGAGAATAAGGGATCATATTAGACAGTAAAATTTTTCTCTTTCTTCCTTTATCTCATCTCTCTACACACAACCCATATATATGTACGCACTCGTGCACATAAGTATACACACTACATACACCATAATACTGACTGGAAAAAAACAAGGCTTTCTTATCTCTCTAAAATGCGTTTCTCCAAACTCTAACACCTCAAAAATCTTGATTCCCTAGGTACCTCTCTGTCTTACCTTCTAAATCTATTTCATTTTCTTCCACTAATAATTTTTTGTCCTTTCTATGTAAATCCAATGATTTTCTCTAGTTTCTCCAGGCCTAGTTTTGTTTGCTCACTTGTATATCGACAGACACACACACACACACACACACACACACACACACACACACACACAGGCCTAGGTCATAACCCCAGAGTCTTACAGAGCCTGTCCTGATTCTAAGGGCTAACTCATGAATCATTCTTTGCTCAACCAAACTTTTAATTTGTCTAAAGTTTTTCTTTTAATCAAGGCTTCGAGTTCTTTTTCCTTAAAACATATGTGAGAGGAGCTAGGTGTGATAGTCCATGCCTGTAATTCCAGCACTCAGTAGGCTGAGGCAGGAGGTAAAAAGTAGGACCCTGTCTCAGCAAACAACAAAAAGTATGAGAAATGGAGAGACTGTAAAATATAGTCTCATACATGGGTTTTCCTCTTTGACAACTTCTTCCATTCTGTCACTTCAATAAAATATACTCTGATAGAAATTTTTAAAACTAAGCAATCATTGATTGACAAAATCAGAGAAGCACACGAGGCAGCAAGTAAATTAACAGAATTCGTGTCCCTGATGAGTTAAGATGTTATGTTTTAGTAGCCCAACTCTAAGCAAACTTTAGTCTCAGATTAATTAGGCCATGTTTCAGTCTCCAAATCCAGGGGAGTTACCCTCTCCTTGATGATCTCAGACCTACCTATCCGTTATGGATCATAGCTAGATTTCCACAGCTATATTCAAAATTAATATTGAATGCTCTCAGCACCCAGTTCTCCTGTGACCAAGACCTTTGAAAAGTTTTTCTGAGTTGCTCTTTCTCTTCTACTGTCTGCCTTTTAAGCCCTGACCATGTGAATTTCTGCTAGAATTAGTTGCTTTGCAGGAGTACAGATTGTTTCAAATCATACTTTCAGTTATTACTTTTCTTTTTCTTATACTTTGCTCCCACTTGTCCAAATATTTATAAATGTCATGCTATTCTTCACTTTCCCTGTCTGTCTACAAATATCCCAGAGAGCATTTGATTAAGTTATTCAAAATAGCTTCATAGCTAATACAACGATTCTCATGTCATACATTCTTAGAATACTCTGAACCACACATAATTAGAGAAATTATTTTTCACCAGACCATAATGGAAAAGAGTCTAAACCTATTAAAAATAAAAAAACACTGTATAACATCATCCAAACTCACCATTGATAAGCTGAAGAGAAACAGGATCTGGATTCAAGGAGGAATCCCCTACCAAAAAATTCTGGTGCAGTGTCTCAGCAATATAATCTCTGAAATTACTGATTGTATAAACAGCAGTGGGCTTATCATCCAATTCCACAAGGCCATGGTTTTCTACTTTGTTGGAATGAAGGCTAATTAGGTCCCAGGTGGTATTACTAATTGCCTCTCCATTGAAGGTAACTTCATAATAAACATCTACACCACTGTGGATGAAAAAAATAAGAAGATTAAAATAGTCTTAATCCATAAAGAACAGACCTAGAGAGAGAGAATCAAAAGAAATGGGTTCTATCAACATCCTCTACAAATTTAGGGGAAACTTTTTCCATCTCCATCTTTCAGAGAATGGTGTATCAAAACTCTAAGAACAGGGCAAGAATTCTAAGGAAGCCACAGAGTCCACCCTGCAGAATTATCTGAGCCTCTTGTCCCTTATTCTCACACTTTTTCCCCCTTTTAAAGCCAATTCCTTTCTGTTAACTATCAGCCTTCTTCCTTCTTTCTCTATTAGCATTTCTCCTTGATTCCTTTATTAAAATGAAGTTTTTCTAACTTCTCCCAACAATGAGAAATTGTCTTATATTTCTTTATTGTTGTTGTTGTTGGAAAAGTATGTACTAAACCATAGTTTATGGTGGAAGTCAGACACACAAGGCTTAAATATTACATGGTTTCTCCCATATGAGAAACTCAGTATATAAATAAAGTGCAAAATAAAAGGCAGATCATATGAAAAAAGAGACAAAGAAAAAAATTACTGTAATCCAGCATGAACAATATATCTAAAAGTGTACTTTGATTTAGTATAACTATCTTATGTATTTTGTATGTCTTTTGGTCTATTAGTCTGGTAACCCGTACATATGATAGTTAACTTTAAAATGACTCATAAGATAAATAACATAAGATAAATAATCTGAGGCTGGTAATAAGTACATAAATAAATAAACAAATGGGAGAAGGGGAAAAAAGAATTGAGATGTGTTGCATACATGTACCAATTCCTCACAATGAAAGTAATCATTATATATTGCAAACATGTACTAATAAGAATTTAAAAATTTTTAAAAATAGCAATTTGGCGAAATAACATAGGATACTAAATTTAAAGTAAATAGGAATACTCCTCTTAGACCATTGATGGCAAACCTTTTAGAGTTTCCAGTGATACAAATAGCTCGCTATGACACAACATGAGACAGGTTTGCCATCACTGTCCTAGACTCCCACCCAGATTTCTTTAACAACTTACAGCTCTAAGTGCTTATAACATGACAGGCATTTTATTTGGTTTTATATCCTTTAATTTTCTAATAACTTGAGTGAAAAGTTTTTATCACCTTCAGAACAAACTGAACTTTACAGATGTTAAGATTTTTTTAAGTTTCATAATAAAGATGTTCAAGCAAAGCTATATCTCACTCCAGCACCTGCATTCTAAACTACAGTGTGATGCTAAACTCTCAGTGCTTTAAAGAAACTATTATCATAAAAAGTCATGATGGGGAAAGTTCTGTGCTAGTCACCCACCACATTGGCTTCCAGACTGTCTCTGTACACTGTCATCACAGGCAAAAGCCTGCAAGCCCTACCAATATCCCTCAGGGGACAAGGAGAGATAAACCATCCAGGACAGGCATACAATGGAAGCAATTTGGTGCTTCAGACACTCCACAATAGCAAAATAATTCCCAAATCAAAGCATAAAAATAAGTTCATCTTCCTCTGAACTTACTTATATATTCTTATATTTATCCTCAATTATAGCCTTCACTGGTTGGTTTTGTTTTTGTTTGTTTTTATTTTAATGTTACAAGAATGATTCTCTTCCCTTGAGTCTCTATCCCCAAGGTTCAGCTTGATACCTGGCACTGAGAGGTACCCAGTGTCTGCTGGATGAGCAGAAATCTATACTTGTCTGAATATAAGAAGAAAACTCAGACATAGCTAAAGAAAAAAATATCATCAGCATGGTGCTGCACTCCCATGATCCCAGCTATTCAGATGGCTAAGGCAAAAGAATTGCAAGTTTGAGGCCAGCCTAGGCAACTTAGCAAGACCCTGAGTCAAAGTAAAAAATTTAAAAGGCTGAGGGATAAGCTAGCGCTCCCTGGGATCAAGTCCCAGTAACCTTCCCACCACACACATACAAAATGGTATCAACAAAATGATACTGTGCAATTTAGGAAAAAAAGGAGTTGTCAATAATTTATGTTACTGTTTAGTGGAAAGCTTCTGATCACAGTGTGTTGGGGCTTCCTTTTAAGATACATCTCTAGATTGGAATCCAATAAAAGCTATTGTGGTTCAATTATACTGGCCATTATTAAGGTATTCCTGATTTCAAACTTGTAAAAAAAGTTTTTATTATAACTCGTTACAGATTTTCCTTTGAGAAGACAATGCATGAGCCAGCCAATGCGTAAGAGGCAGCTGGTAGATGCTCTCATTTTAAATAGACCAATGGGAATCCTAGAGAATTTGTTATCTCTTGTGGTTGGGAAAACATGAAGTGGTCTTAAAAGACTTTTCCTTCCTGGGAGCATAGGCTGGTTTAGACTAGTTCTGAACTACATGGTGCAAGTGACACTCAGAAATGTAGGAAATGCCATGAAACCCCACCTGCTATATGAACACCCAGATCTCACTGATGTTTCTATCTCTTTAGCATGGAAATGCTTTCATTTCTTTTACTTATTTTTTATCAGTGAGTGTAAATGCTGAATCACTTCAATACTGTTTCCCTCTCATATCTGATAAGCTACCTCTCTTAAGCAGGGCATTTAGGTAGGAACTCTGATGTCTAGGTAATAAAAACATCTGCTATCACCTACAAGTTCCCTTAAGCAATTAAAGCCTTTAAATTTCACACATCAAGACATGTTGATCCATGCATAATTTCCAATCTTTCTTTATAAGGAAAGAAATTCAATAAAATATTAAAATAACAGTGATGGTTCTAAAGTGGAATAAAACAGTAAGAGAGACACCTACTGGTCGGAACTCAGCACATCATACTCTCCACTGTTCTTCAGGAGCCTTCAGTCTTTCTGATGTACTCTGGCATACAAAAGGCACCGCCATCTCTAGATCTTGCACATCCACCTCTTTCTCTTTGCACTGTCTGCTATTGCCTCCCACCCCATATATCCTCCATATGCACATACCCACTTTTTTTCACCTGGCTATTTTTTCTCTCAGTTTGGATGGACGCTCTTTCAAACACTGAAGTTGTGGTTCATGATCATATTCTATCTCCTTGCAACTGTATAGGCACAATTATTATTAAGCTCTGTGTCTCAAATATCTAGAATAATGTCTGGCTCATAATATTTTCACAAATATTGAAAATAATGGGGCAAATGATCAATTTTGTTCACTAATACAGGCAGATAAAACTGAATTTTGGGCCGGGGATTTAGCTCAGTGGTTCTCCTGCCTGCCTTTCAAGCACAAAGATCCGAGTTCAATCCCTGATACAAAAAAAAAAAAAAAAAAAAAGAATTTGTTCCACTTAAATGACAGAATGTATTACTTCTACTTTGAAGCATTTTTAGCCTACAAACATAAATAGAGCAATTTTCCAAATTAGAGAGTATTTATATTATCTTCATACACTTGTATCCTGTTAGTAATCATTTTAGAGACATTGTTTTAGAAATAAAGCTCAACTTGGTGAGGATGTATATGCTGCCTCTGTTCAGTGGGACTGACTGTACCATATCTCCATATTAGAAAGTTGGGCTTCTCCTTGAGAAATCTGCACAATCTAGTGTACTCACTTAATACTGTTAACATGACTCTGAAATATGATGCAGTGAGAAAGAAAGAAAGAGAGGAGTGATGTGAACAGGGGAGGAGAGAGAAAAGGGGAGAAGTGAGAAGGCTGTGCCAAATACACCTTGAATTATGTCCTGTGTTACACAGAAAATCAGACAAGTCAAGCATTTATTGGAAAGCTACCATCCACTTTGCATGACTTAAATATTACAAGGAGAAGATCAAAAGGAATGTTCTTGAATCAAGAAATCTATGCATCCGGCTTTCCTGGCTAGATTACTGGCCTTACTCTTTACTGTTAAACATTATTTGCTTCCTAGTGTTTCCATTGGATATCCAAACATAACTACTAATATAATCCTCCTTGTCTACTGAGGATAAATTCATCAAAGAAGATAAAACAGCTCAGATAAGTGATGCAAATTATTGCTATGTTTTTGTCCTAGAAGGAGAATCAAGAAAAAAAATGTCTGAAGTACTGAGAAACCATGTATTCTTAGGGCCACTTTACTATGACCCAGAACAGGCTCAGTTCTGGCACCGTAATGGAGTACAAAGATGTCTCTGGGTGGACAAACTGAAAGAAAACCAAAAGGCCAAAGACATCTTTAAGAAGTGTACTGGATGTCCTCCATCAGAAACTCTAAGTTAACCAAAAAATACTGGACTATTACATTTCTATATTTTCTATATTTTTACAGTTACTTCCAGAGACATCTGTCATGTGGAGATAAAGTTCACCCTTTCTTATTCTCTCACCTTAAATTCCCTGACTGGCTTTGAATAAGCAGATTTTTCAAAGGAAAATTTTTGGTATTGAGGTAGGACAGAAGAAATAAAGATAGGTACAGAAAAGGAAAAACATAATTTAAAAAATAAAAACTACAGCTTCTAGACACAAGTCCAGATTTTTTGTTTGTTTTGGGGGGGTTGTTGTTTTGTTTTGTTTTTTGTCCCAAGACACAACAAGCCTGGCCCATTCCCCTTTCACCTGAGAATGGGTTAAGCCCCCACAGAAAGAGCTGCTACCTTTCACCTGTAAATTGAATCCCCTCTTTCCATAGATTCACAAGTTATACAGATTTCCACCTGTAAATCTCCCTTAAATATGTCTAGCCCCAGGCTATGAGCACCCCCGCCCGTCCCCTCTCTCCTCTCAGACCTGTACTCTATTTCTTTGAGTATCTACTTTTAAATTTCTGCCTTATAAATCTCTTTATACCTCTTACTGACATGTCCTGAAAATTTTTTTCTGCAACGTGTCAACAAACCTACAACCTGTAAACTGTTCTGAGTAAGGTGGGTTTAGAGTCCTTATCACCACTTTGGGAACCTCCTAGTTTCCTGTCCAGGGACAGTATAACATCTCATCAAGATCGACCAAAATAAGGAAACTCAGGCATTCCTTTTTCTATAGTACTTCTTACAAAGTTGAAACTGAAGTTAGAAGTGTGTGTATTATTTAGGGAAGTTATGAAGTATGTGTGCATGTTGTTGGCTTACTTCAAATGGGTCCTACTGACTTACAATAAATGAGTGCAGCTTGAAAGACAAAATGAAGATAAAATTTTGTAAGCATATAACTGTTTGGGGATATGTATTATTTAAACATAACAGTTCTGTGCCGTGGTCACTCATACACAACTTAGTATAGAAGCATACTAAAAAGTTACAGATAAATTCCATCAAGTAATAATATCTCATAATGCTGGAATTTTTTGAAAATTATATGTAGGTTGATAACTGTATCACAAAATCTAATAGCTTTGTATGGAACTGTCGTATGTGTCCCCATGCAGCAGTGTTAGCACTTAGTGAATGGATACCTATTTTTATTACAGGGTTAAACATCGAGGTTTGGGGTTGTTTTAGCATTCTAATCACCTCAAGAGGACAAGTAAACAATCCAGCCTTTGGTTGAGCATACATCTCAACATTTATATCTGTAATACATATACACAGAGTAGTTTACATCAACTAAAAGTACAGAAAACCAAAATCTGATTGCCTTTGCCAAAATATCTGTCATTGCCTAGTCATATAACTTAGGATATCCGTTTGCCTTTTTAAAGCAAAATTTCCTTGTTTCCAAAAAAAAAATGAGTATTAACTCATTTCTGCTGTCCCAGAGGGATCCTGAGACGATAAAATGAAAAAGAAAAAGAACTAGCACTTTGACATCTCTGAAAGCAATTTTCATTATATATGTGTTCCTAGAGGAGAGAGATCAAGAGTCATGATTTCTTGTATATATATAGGCTTTACCCCATTAGTGGCTACTTCAAAAATACTTGTTAAAATAATATAAAGGAAAGTGAGGAAATCAGAAAGCCCATTCAAATACAATATTATTGTCATCCCTATCTGTGGCATTTATCCCCTAAACATAAATTGCATGGATGCTCAAGTCCTTCACACAAAATGCTGTAATATTTGCATAGAACATATACACATTCTCCCATATATTTTAGATCATCTGTGGATTATTTCTAGTATCTAACTCAATACAAATGCTATGTAAATAGTCTAGGGAACAGTAACAAGAAAAAAAGTCTGTATATGTTCACTGCATGTACAGGCAGCAATTTGTTCTTGTATTTTTTGCTTTTTCCCATATTTTCCATCAGTAGCCAGTTGAATCCATGGATGAAGAAGCCATGGATATCGGATGTCAACTGCACAGTAAGAAATATTACTGGATCTATAAACATGTCCACAGTTAACCCTTGATTTTGCTTTATTATACTTAATAGTCTTCCAAGAGAAAGTAAATTTGGAACTCAAAAACAATAATGAGGGCCAGGGATTTAGCTCTGTGGTTCTGCTGCCTGCCTCTCAAGTGCAAGGACCTGAGTTTGATCCCTGTACCCAAAAAAAGAGACAAGACAAGAAATATGTAAAGGGGAATATTTACTAAGCTCTTATATTATGCTTCTTCTATAAAATTCCAGAGAGAAATTCTTTTTACAAATAAACTATTATAGATCGGCTTTCTCTCTTTCATTTACCACTCAAAAAATACTTCATTATCTTATTGAATGACACAATATACTTGACAGCATTTCCATTAACATAACTTATTATTCCTATTTTAAATTAAGCATAATTCAGTATTTAAATATTTGTCTGTATGGTGCTGGAAAAACTGAGTATCAACTTGCCAAAGATTAAAATTAGACCCACATCTTTCACCAGGCACTAAACTAAACTTTCACCAGGCACTAAACTAAAATGGATCAGGGCCGGGGATTGGGCTAAGTGGTTCCGCCACCTACCTCACAAGTGCAAGGGCCAGAGTTCAATCCCTGGCACCCCCCCCAAAAAAAATGCTGACTAAAATCAAAATGGATCAAAGATCTAAATATAAAACAGAAAAACTAAACTTCCTGAAAGATAGGTTAGGTAGGATTCTTGAAGACATTGACACAGGAAAAGGCTTGATGAACAAAACCTCAGTACCACAGGAACTAGCACAATCAACCTGGGATCTCACTTTACTGAAAAGCTTCTGTACAGAAACAGAAACCACCAACAGAGTGAAGGGAAAACCTACTACGTGGGAAAAATTTTTATCAGCTGTTCCTCAGACAAAGGACTACTATCTAAAATATATAAAGAACTTTCAAATATCAGGCCAATTCAGCTATAAATTTCTCTAGTTTCTCATTCTTTATGGATGAGAACTATTCCATTTTATTTTTAAAAATCTTCTTTATCCACTCACCAGTTGATGGGAAATTGGGCTGTTTCCAATGGTTAGCTATTACAAACTGTGCCACTATAAATATGGGTGTGCATATATTGCTGTGGTATGATGCTTTTAATTCTTTTGTGAAGATACCCAGCAGGGGAATAGCAGGGTCAAATGGTACCTCTTATCCTAGTTCTTTTAGGAATCTCCACATTGATTTCCACGATGGTTGCACCAGTCTACACTCCCACCAACAGTGGAATAGCTTCCCTTTTCCCCACAGCTCAGCCAGAATTTATTACTGGTTGATTTCTTGATAGCAACCATGCTTTCTGGAGTGAGATGGAATCTCAATGTTGTTTGCAACTGCATCTCTCGAATGACTAGTGATGCTGAAAATTTTTTTCATGTTTATTTGCTATTTCTACTTCTTCATCTGAGAAATGTCTGTTTATTTCAGATGCCCATTTTTTGACTGTGTCTTTAAATTTGGGGGTATTATTTCTTTTTTGATTTTCTTTTTTGTCATTGTTTTTTTTTTAATTATTTAAGTTTATTGTCCATTAACTAGTGACTGGATAAAGAAGATGTGGTTTTATTATAAAATGGAATACTACTCAGCCATAAAGAATGATAAACTAGAGACATTCATAGCTAAATTGATACACACTGAGGCCACACTCTTAAGTGAAATAAATAGGACATAGGTGTAAATACTGAATAGTTTCTCTGGTGTGAGAAACTGAAAGTGTAAATGAGGACCAAAATGTATAATAGATAATATGAAGTAGGAAGAAAAGGTCCAAAAGGGAAGGAGAAGTAGGGAGTGGGTTGGGGGAAGGAAAGATGAGAAGGAAAAATGGGAGAAAAGAAAGAAAAAACAAAAACAAAAGTTTCTGTGAACAGGGAGGTGTGGAGGGGAAGAAAGGGGATGAGGGAAAAACAAGAACCAAGATATATCATGTACAGGTACAAATTCCCAAGGATGAATGTGATCATAATGTATACCTAAAATGTGTCAATAAACTTAATGGGAAAAAATTAAGTACTTGTCCCTCAGCAGTCTATAAAAAGGTCTATAATCTATATTTGTGACTGAAATTCAGTTTGCTGTTCATGAGTCAATAGATTTTTAAGTGATTGAAAACAATCAAAACAACAATTTTAATGATGTGAAAAATATATGGAATCCAGACTTCAGTGTACATCAGTGAAGTTTTACTGAAACATAGCAGCGTGCTTTCATTTACAATGCACTGTCTACATCTATTTTTACCTACTAAAGCTGAGCAGTTGCAGCAGACATTACACAGACTCCAAATTTAAAACATTTGCCATTGACCTTTAACTGAAAACATTTGCCAAACTCCTTATCTGTAAGGAGATGGATAGTGATATTGAAAGCGACTGAAGAATTGATTCATGTTCACCTAAACCTCAAGCTTCTATAGTTTCTAAACTACCTCCTAACTAACTGCACAATACAGAGGCTACCAGCAAGAACTTTACCTGCCATTTTCCTTGGGGGACCTGAAAGTAAAAATGGAAATTGTTAATCAGGGTTTAAGACAGTTATAAATGTCACATCATTCCTGAAAGTACAAGTTATTTATATATTTCTTCTGATTTTCTTTGAAATACTTCTGAAATGAAAATACTTCATATTATCAAACACTGGTAAAGTTCTGTTCTTTGAAGAAAATGAATGAAAGTGAAGAAAATACCTGACTTTAAAACCAAAGGTTTTTATAACCATATATGGCTTATTTCTTTGTAATTAATTGTTTGAAGTACTAGAGATTGAACCCAGGATCTTTGCACTGAGCTACTTCCCCAGGCCTTTTTTATTTTTTATTTGGACACGTGGTCTCCCTAAGTCACTAAGTTTCCCAGGCTGGTCTCAGATTTGGTGATCCTCCTACCTCAGCTTTCCAGACACCTGGGATTAAAAGCATTCACCACCCACCTTGTTTATAATTAAATTTCATTCTGGTAGATCAGCAGAGAACTTCAATTATTGACATTAAAATTGGAAACCTTTTCGGAGATGCATATGTTATATACTAAAATAAATGAAAAAATCAGATATATAGATCCACATTAAAATAAGACATAGAAAAATTTCAGAACTTTTCTGGGAACAAAATGATCCTGTAACTCTTGAGAGATGGAGAAAAATTTTATAAATCAAAATGAACTTCTTCTAGAATAACAAAGAAATTAGAATAATAATTTAGATGAGATCAGGAGCATTCAGGGTAGTATGGCTGTAGACTAGAACAGTAATTTTAAAAGTCTCAACAGAGTTGTTTTCCAACCAGAATTTCAAATAAGAATATTTTCAAACATGCTTAAAAGCAATAAAATTATTTCCCATGCACTTTCTCGTGTTCCATCAAGAAAAAAGTTTATATAGTCTTCATCAAAGAATAAAGAAACTCCAGATTGTTTCCTTAGACCTAGGCATGGAGGAGTACTTGTTAAGATACAAGACAAGCTCTATAACAAACAAGTCTCCCAAGTACAGTGGCTAAAAGAAGGCAGAAGCATCTTTCTCTCTCATGTAGCACCCCCATGTTGAGTAATACAGACCAACAGGACATTTGAGCTTCACAAAATCACTGAGGGGCCCAAATTTCTTTTGTCTTATTGCTCATCCAGATTGTTGTATTTTCCTCATATTCAAAGCCTGAGGATGTATCTGTATGCCAGTTCGTACGAAAAGCAGAAGCAGAAGCTCAAAGTAAGCAATTAAAATAAATTTGCCAAAAGAAATAAACAACAAAATAAATTTGCCTACATCCCTTCTACTTTTATACCATCAACAATATCTTAGGCATATGGTCAAACCTATGAGAAGAGAGGTTATAAAATATAGTTTCTAGCTATGCAATCATGGGTCTAATTTAAATGTCTGATTATGGAAGAAAAGAAAAACAGAATTCGGATATATTTTAATTCTCCCAAGAAGAATAATCAGTTCAGACTGACTTAAAAACTAATTTCAAAAACTTATTTTAAAAATTAAGACCAAACATACTTTTGACCTCTGTATCCATGGATTTCCTTTCTTCCAGAGGAAATAAATAAGCATAGTGAAAATCAGTAGAAACACAACCTTTTTAAAGGAGTCTGAACTAATTATGATTTATGGCAAGATAATGAATGAAAAAACACCAAAGTGTGCTCCTAACATAAATAGTGACATAATAACCTAAGTATCTCTTCCTCAACCAGTATCTTACCAGGAAACTTTGGACTTTCATAAACTCAATGCAAAAGAAAGTGTAAATATTCTCAAAGAACAGAGATTGCCTAAATATGCATGTGGTTGTATTTCCATGGACTATCTCTGTAGATATAAAAAGCTTGGAACTGTGGTTGCTTAGCTAAAGGAGTACTGGTTTTGTGCAAGGTCCTAAGTTCGATCCTGAGCACCAAAAAAAAAAAAAAAAAAAAAAAAGGAGTACTGGTTTTATTTTCACTATTCACCTTTTTGTTTTCTTTTTAATATGTATATGTTTATATTTATACTGTATCTAAGAAAAGAAAACAATAAAATGCATTTCCTTTATAAAAAGTGCCAGGCATGTTAGTGTGTATGTCAGTAATCTCAGAACTTGGAAAACTGAGGAAGGAGTATCACATAAATTCAGGGCTAGCCCGGGCTACATAGTGAGTTTAAGGCCAGCCTAAACTACATAGCAAGACCCTGTCTCAAAAAAAAAGTGTATACTCTGAACCAGCAAGCATAATTCTAGAAATTTATTATAAAGATATAATGGTATAATATTTTATAGTTAAAAAAGAAGAATGTAAATATTCAATAGTAGGAGAATGGAATTAATTATACACACATACTATGGAATATAATACAGATTCAAGAAAGAATAAGCAGCCGGGCGTGGTGGCGCATGCCTGTAATCCCAGAACTTTGAAGGCTGAAGCAGGAGGATCGCTGTGAGTTCGAGACCAACCTGGACTACACAGTGAGTTTCAGGGCAGTCTGAACCACATAGTGAGACCCTGTCTCAAAAAACCAAAAAAAGAGAAAAGAAAGAAAGAAAGAATAAACTGATTAAAATCAAAACAAAAATTATAAATAGTAACCATATTAAAGCATGATTAAATAAATACAATCTTTTGGCATGATTCCACAATTTGATTTCAATAAAGATTAAAATAGTTCTTTGACGAAGAAAAAAAACAGACTATAAGACTGAAAACACAATGGCATGAAATTACATTTGTACCACATATGTATGCAAAGAAAGAAATAGCAGATGTTACACAGTATGATATTAAGAGTATGCATAGGTCATCAGGCTGACTAACCTATAATACACAGCAGAGCCTTTGGTATTTTTCTTTTTTTTTTTGAGACAGGATCTCACTATGTAGTTAATATTAACCTGGAACTCACTATGTAGCCCAGGCTGGCCTCAAACCCACAGAGATCCTCCTGCCTCAGCCTCCCAAGTGCTACAATTACAGGTGTGCACCACCACACCCAGCCTTTAATCATTTTTTAATTAATTTTATTGGTACATTTTAGGCATATAATATAATGATATTCATCACTGGAAATCTGTACCTTTACATAATCTATGTTGGTTCTTATTTTTCCCCATTCCCCTGCCCTCCCTTCAACACCTCTACCCCTTCCTATTTACATAGACTTTGTTTCCATTTTTTCATTTTCTCACATCAATTCTATTCCCTTCTTCCCAGCATCAAAACAGAACTTCCCATGTCCTGGAAGGTAAGTTAAGAATTTTACAAAAATTAATTCACTTAATCCTCATTAAGATTCATTAAACAAGCCGGGTGTGGCGGCGCATGCCTGTAATCCTCGGGAGGCCGAGGCAGGAGTATTGCTGTGAGTTTGAGACCAGCCTGGGCTACACAGTGAGTTCCAGGTCAGTCTCAACTACAAAGTGAGACCCTGTCTCAAAAAACAAAAAAGTAAAAAACAAACTAAATCATTTCCCCAAAAATATTTCACAAGCATTTTTAATAACACAAGATTAATAGTTAAATTATTTTTTATACAAATGCAAGTTAGGATTCAGTAATATACCCCAAACCACCCATCCAGAAGTGCAAAGGCCAGATTTGAAGCCAGGCAGATTGGCTCCAAAGTCTGTGATGGCTTTCACATGCTGCCAAATGAGAGAGTTCTTCAAAGGCCTCACATTCTCAGGTTCTCATCTAAGTTTAGTTACAGGCAAGGGCAGCATTCTCTAAAACCTGCTCGTGGTGTAAGAGTGGATAAGTCATACAAGACCTTTCTTTACTAAGCCTGTACTATTGAATATATGACCTTTGGTAAATTATTTAAATTTTCTGTGTTCTGATTTCCTTATGAGAAAAACACCAATATATATATATATATATATATATATATATATATATATATATACTCTCTTATATATATATATATATATATATAATCTCCTGCTGTACAATAAATGCTACATAAGTGCTTATTGCTATTTCTGTTAAACTGAGACATTTTGACAAGAAAAATACCAAAGTTGAGATGACACTGTTAATTATGCTGTAAATTGCGTGGTACCACAGTCTATGCTTCCTTGAAGCCAACAGGTGGGGCACTGCTACCACCCTCATGCTTCAAAACTCATACGACTGGGTCCATCCAGCACGGAAGTTAAAAGCAAGAGCCATAATACCAGCTCCTTTGTTTCAAAATACCTCTTCCATCCCCAGTTGACAAGCTCTTTGACTATGTAATGTTTCATCCCTTTAAATCTGTTTCCTGCTCCATGGAATGATTAAAAATACATGTGGAGAGTTAAAGAATGAGTTCAAGGATGTGAAGTTCATAGTACAAAATATTCACTTAATATATACTCCCATGTATTACGGTATGAGTCTTAAATAGTAAAGAAATGTCTTTAAAAGAAGTCTCTGATATACTCAAAACTACTCTGTTTGAAATGAGGACAAATATATCCCTTCAAGACTGGCTTAACACCAAGAAATCAGCTAGTTCAGGAAAGCACTGATAAACTTTAGGAGCACGCTGAGGCCACATCTAATCTGACCAATCTAATCACATCAATGCCATAAAAGAGCTGTGTAACTTGTCAGCCATAAACTGGGGACTCAAATTCCTAAATTCTTACTCTGGCTCAACTACAGAGGTATTGTCTCCTTGAATATATTATTTTGTCTTTTTCTAACTCCATTTCCTCACCTAAAAAACAAGAACTAAGAATAGTAAGTTACCAGAAATAGCATTAAAGTACAGCATTCAGATCATTTTTGTCAGAGTATATATAATAAACATAAAGGATACTTCATTTACAGAGTACTAATGAGCACAGGTATTTTTAAAGTAAATCCATTTACCTAAATTCAAGAACATGAATATCCTTGTAGCCTGGTAACCCAGTAAATGCATTTTCAACCTGTTAAAAATAAAAATAAAAATTACAACTATATAGAAATGTGGAAAAGTACTGTATATATAAAACGCTTTTAAGATTAGAAGACAGAAATCTATTGTATACAGTTATTTGAAGATACATATGGGTCCAGCAATGAAAAAAATTTTTTCAGCAATTACAGTGTTAGAAAATAGCACTGCCATATTTTTCCTTTTCACTTGTCTTTTAAAGTTTTAACATGGTTCCATATTAATTTTTCCCAAATTATGAAAAGCATATTTTCATTGGCAAAACACTGCTTCATATCTTATGTGATGAAATATGGCGAAGTATTAATTTCAAAAAAATCTATAATAGTACTTCTACAGTGGTGGTACCACCTGCCTTATAAGCACAAAGACCGTGTTTGATTCCCCAGTACCAAAAAAAAAAAAAAATAGTACTTCTAAATGTTATTCTTTGGATTAAAAATCTGGCCCCAATCAATATACAATGACAAAGCATCAACTGTCTATTTTCCATAAATGTGAAAGTCTCTGGTGACATCTGTCTCTTGTTCCTACAACAGAAGAGAACTATGAACACGCTAAGCATTTGAAAGAAATGTTCAAGCCCTGAATTAGCCCCAGGATAGAAGGCTTGTAGATTGGCTGTCCCAAAGCAGTGGTCAAGTAACTTACATCAAAAAATCAGTTGGTGAAAATTACATCCACAGAAAATTGCAACCACAGATTTTAATACTGAGTCTTTAAAATTCAGCAATATAATTCCATATGAGCTTAGTGACTAGAGGAATAAAAAAGAATGCTAGATTAGAGATCTAAAAATAATCACATTATATGAAAATATTTTTTAATTTATTTTTTTCTTAATTTTTATTTTTTGTACTGGGAATCGAACTCAGGACCTTATGCTTACAAGGCACACAGTGGCACCACTGAGATAAATCTCTGGCCCATGAAAATATATATTTTAATAAAATTAAGTATTTAATTCATAACATTTCAGAAAGTGGCTCATTAGATGGGTTACTATGTAGCCAAGACCAGAATAATGGAAATAAGTTTAATGGACTTTGGGGCATCTCTGGGTATCTGTTTTTAACCAAGTCATTAAATAATTAGGCAAATGGAATTTTTTTTAACATCTTCATGTCTCACGCCTTAATAAAGAATTCAAACAGGACACTTTTTTACTTTGTTTTACTCTTTGTAAGGAAAGAGTAAACTCTTATAAGATGGAGATAAAAGTGCAATTTGTCAGACAAGGAATCAGAAGCCTCTGGTATTGAGTAACTATTATGTCTGGTGCTTTGCAATATTACTTCTAATCCTTCCAACATTCCCAAGACTTATATATTACCCTGGCTTTATAAATGAGAAAACTGAGACACTAAGATATCAAATAACTTGGCCAGAAACATATTTTTCATGACTGAATCAGAATTTATTAGAGATTCCTCTAATACTCAAGCCATATTTCTCCCACTGAATTACACTGCCTTCTCCTCTTCCTACTGCCTCCTGATAAATGTTTTAGAATTTGGATCAGGATGGCAAAAACTGAAACTCACCACATTTCCCTGAGTTAAAACTAAAGGAACTAGGGATAGTGTAAAGGAAGGAACACTTTGAAAGGCAAAAAGAAACTTGGTTTTACATTCTACTTCTAGAGCATCTGAAATAACCTTGAACAAGTTATTTGGCCTACTGAACCACATCTGTAAAATGAAGATGCTTATCCCGAGTACTCATGTGAGCAAGCAGAAGGCAGTCTGTGGAAACACTATGTGGTTGCTTAAAAGCGCTATGCAAGGACACTACATTAATGCTGTGACTGTCTTCTGGTACCCTCCCAAGCTTATCACACCTTCCTTCCCTCCAACATCATACCTGGTATTGCTGCAAGTTTGTCATGCTCCCTCTTACCTCTATCCTCATTTTAAAAAATAGAATAAAAGTTTCTGAAATTCATCTTCTCCAAATAGGCTTTCTTTTTTCCCTGTGTGTCTTCCAGTACTACCTAAGACACAATACTAAGGAAATAAAAGCTGGAAGCAAAGTGTTCTTCAGTTTTCAGTAAGCACAGTGACAAGACCCGCCAGAGAAAGAACTCCTGCCTCTGCTGTTCCACATGAAAAGTAGCTATTGAGAGACATTTTATTCAAGGTAAGAAGGGGACTTATGGTACAGATAAAGGCCAGAGAAGGCGGTATCTTCAAGGTAGGCCCAGACCCTTCATCAAATCACCTTTCCCTCTCTTGTTAAGTCTCAGCTAAAGATGGTTTTCAGAGTGTTTACTAGACTTTCTCTAAATCTGTAGTCATTTCACACAATTGTTTACACAAACACTAAGACTTATTAAGTGTTCCTTAATCCAAGAGAAAAAAGAACCAGACAGCCAACCTAAAACATCATCTGATGCCAGGTGGCCAATGGCCTGGCTGACATTTCTTCCACATAACATACAACCTTGCAATTTGGCCACCTGGCTAGGAAAATGAATTGTCTGGCTGACACTCCTCATGTCTGATGGCTGCAATAATGCTGTTTGGCTAAGAGATGCATATTTTTATTTCCCATCTGGGCACAGTGTCAGGGGAAGGAAATTAATCCAAGTTAATGGAATTGAAAGCTTTGGCAAACAAGAACCCAATCAAAAGAGAATGGAAAAGATGTGCCTTGTCATCAGGTGGAGAGGGGTGGGTGGACATTCAATGCCTACCATACAAAGACAAAGACAGATTAGAAAGAGCCTCTGAAATGGGTCATTCTTAACTGAAAGAAACTTGAGTGAGTCCTGTGCAGAATTTTTTCAGAAAGTAAAGTTATGGTATGGTCAAATTCACAGTTATTTAAAGAAATACCTTTTGAAAAATACTTCTTAGCAAGGAACAAAGATAGTAGGGAAATCTATTTTTACTGGATGCCTTTTTTGCTTCCAAACTTTGTAGTCTATATTACCTATGTGGTTACTACTCAAAAGTTTTTGTGTAACAAAAAGGAATATTAAAGATGTATTTTAAAAATTAAAATTAATGTTTACTCAAGAAAAACAATACACTATTCATAATTTCTTAGATGCTCATTTCTCCAACCACTGTCCAGTCAAAACCATGCAATGGAACTCAATCTTCCTTATCTGTGCAGCATAAGTTGAAAAGAGCACTTATTTGTTAGTAGATAGCAGTATTTATTTCTAGAAAAGAACTTACCTTTCTGTGAACTTTTTACAGAGCTTTCTGAAGAAACAGACAAGAACCCCAAGAACCAAGTGAATGGACAGCTTGAATCCTAAGTGTTCCTTAAAGCAGAGTGAGTACAGGAAACTTACATCTCCAGCAAACTGTCTAGTTCATTAAAACAAACAAATAAAACCACCCACCTCTAAAATAAACTCTTCTACAAGATGCTTGTAGTGCGAGCTGGAGGGATCCTGTAGCTCTTCCCTGTAATCCTTCCCCAAAAGGAGGATACTGAATTCTGCAATCTGTTCAGCTGCTGGTTTTGTGGGCTCTTCTACGACATTCACAATTTCATTGCTAATCTGGATTTTTAGAAAAGAACAATGTCAATGCTTATTTGTTCACAACAAATATTTATCAACTGCGTACAAAGTTCCAGACATTGGGCCAGAGGTCATTTCTGGCAATTAATTTTTATGTAGTATTTGACTTTGAAACAAATTAGACAGAATTTAAGATATTACAGTTATTAATATTAAAATTATTGTGCATTTCTACATTCCTTTGAACACACTGACAAGTTCAAGGGAAAATAAAAAATTTTCCATAGGAAATTACCAAAGTGACTTTTAAAAGATTTGACTATTATATAATTATCATTTAAAAATAGTCTAGGAGAGAGGTTCTCAAATTTCAGTCCTAGAGCCCTCTTAAACTCTTAAAAATAACTGAGCAAGTCAAGAGCATGGTTTATGTAGATTAGACCTACACATATTTACCAAACAAAATTAAAATGTGTTATGTACATGTAGCAACTTCCCACAAGGAATGTAGCCAGCCTTGGTGACTAACACCTACAATCCTAGCACTCGGGAGGCTGAGGCAGGAGGATTGCTGAGTTCAAGGACAACCTGAACCATATAGCAAGATCATGTCTCAAAAAAAGAAAAAGAAAAAGAGTGTAAACATTAGCTATTACACACATATATTAAGAAACTAAAATTTGCCTTCAGTCCAGCACAGCAGAGGAGACTGGAAGCAGCTTGTGACCCTCTGGTGGGTCTTCAGCAGGGAGCAAGAGGAGCACTGAAGCAGTGCAAGACCCGCCCCTACGGCCCAGCCCAGCAGAGGAGCCCAGCCGCATGGGAGTCAACACAGCAATGTCCATTCCCCACACCCCACGCAAACAAGAGAAAGAGGGCCGCTCTGAGGCTCCTAGATGAAAACTGAAGCCCCCTGGAAAAGTGAAGAAAATCTACAATAAAGGCACACCACACTACCATAGTTGCTAAGTCAGAGGGATCAGCACTTCACAACAGAACCTGGTCTAATTTCAGTGGAAAGACAGCTGGAACCTGCAGTACAACTTTGCAGAGTTCAACCCAGCAGGAGGTCAGAGATCTCAATTTGGGCCTTGCAGACAGAAATCAGCCTGAACCTCAGGGGACAGCTGCTGGCTTTCTGAGACTAACTAACTTAGATCTGCACACTCCTGCCCATGCTATCTATTGCGTCAACAGAGGCATACCCTGTAGGAAGCTCTCTATTTCTATTTGTATTTTTTTATTTTCAAAGTAATATTTTTCACTTATCTTTAAACATTTTTAAAATTTTTTATCTATCCTTTCTTTTCTCAATACTTTTCCTTTTTTATCTTTTTTCTTATCTTTTCTTTCCCTCTCTCCCACTCTCTCCCACCTCGATCTTCATTTCTCTGCCTCTTTATTTCTGTTCCTATTCTAATTCGAATTTATTTTCTTTTCTTCTCTTTTTCCTTCTCTCAATTGCCATTAGTTTTCAAATAAAGTGATTAAAGTCTCTAGCCTCCCTATTGGTGCTAATTTGTTCAGTCATTGTGTATATTTTGTTCCATCTTCTCGTCTCTTCAACAACTTCCTAGAGTTTGTGTGATCTTTATCCTCTGACTTCACTTCTAACCTTTCTCGATCCTATCTACTATCCCTCCCTCTCCAAGTCCTTCTAAGTTCCCAACCTGAAGGGTAAAGTTGCTATATTGAAGAGTTTATTCACTATAAATGTATTTTGGGTTAGTCCTCAATTTTGTTTTAATTCACACAGTTAAAGATAATAGACTACTAACTACCACAAATTGGTATTTTCTAACCTGTGCTTGATGCTACTATATTGCTGATTGTATCACTTGGGCTAAGGTGTTGTAATTGATCTAATCTGTTATCCTTCCTGGTATAATGAAAATGAGATTGTTTCAGAGTCAGTAGAGGCTCAAAATCTAAAGACAAGTTATCACAAGAAGACTGAAGTATTAACCCAGGAATTAAAAAAAGGACAGTGCCGACAAAAAACAGAAATGAGAAGACATTTAAACAAGGCATAAACACAGACTTCCAGCTCACCAAAGGTAAACTCTGGTGAAAACGAGGTGGAAAAGTCTGACAGTCAACCATCTGGACACCCCAAACTGATAGCACAGGAAGTAACAAAACACATAAATTAGGCTCTAGAAAAATCCAAAATAGAAATAATTTTCCAGATAACCACAGAGATGGTGAGCACAATGAAAGATATAATTAGAGACTCTAGAACAGAAACAGATTGAAAAAAAAAATAGATGAGCTCAGGACCATGATGGAAACCATGAATGTCCAGTATAGGAAACAAATGAAAACCTCAAATGCCCAACACAGGAAAGAAATGGAATCCATGAAACAGATTCAAACAGACATCCAGGAGATTAAAAACTCTATAGAAAGCATTCACAGCAGGATGAATGGCTGGGAAGATAGAATTTCTGGTATAGAAGATAGGATTGCAGTCAGTGGCCATGGAAAGAGGGGTCTCTTAAAAACAGTAAGGGATCATGAGAAATCGATCCAACAACTTTTAGATGATGCAAAGAAGAATAATATAACACTGATAGGAGTCCATGAAAAAGGAGGAGAAAGTACAAATGAAATTTTAGAAAGCTGTTCACAGAATTAATGACAGAAAACTTCCCAAAGAGGGGATAATTTTGACATACAGATAATTGAGACATATATAGGGCTCCATCTAGCCATGATCAAAAAACATCTACACCTAAACATATAATAAGATCCCAGAAGGAACCACGCCTACTCCCAAGCCAGCCACCATCACTCAAGTGCCGGGTAGGTAGTCTAGGCCCTGATCCACCACGGGAAGGAGAACCACGCCTGCTCCCGACCCAGCCGCCATCACTCAAGCACCAGGAAGGTAGTCTGGACCCCGATCCACCGCGGGAAGGAGAACCACGCCTGCTCCCGACCCGGCTGCCATCGCTCAAGCGCCGGGTAGGTAGTCTGGGCCCCGATCCACCACGGGAAGGAGAACCACGCCTGCTCCCGACCCAGCAGCCATCGCTCAAGCACCGGGAAGGTAGGCCGGGCCCGGATCCACTGCGGGAAGGAGAACCACGCCTGCTCCCGACCCGGCCGCCATCGCTCAAGCCCCGGTTAGGTAGTCTGGGCCCCGATCCACCATGGGAAGGAGAACCACGCCTGCTCCTGACCCAGCCGCCATCGCTCAAGCACCGGGAAGATAGCCGTGGGGGCGCCCCTGAACCCCCATAACTACCCCCCCCGCACTCTCAGATCTCCTGACGGTGCCAGGCTTTGGACCTACTCTGCAAAGACAGAGGTGGTCAGCAAGGGTATTTTTCTGAGTTCCCAATTTTGA